ATGCCCATTAAGTGGGAGCACATCAATCCCCCTCTCTCCTCCCCTTTCTCCCTCTCCCCAACAATGGTCTTTTTAAAAAGTCCAAAACCCAGATAAAGTTGAAAACTGGTACATTATATCTTCTTCTCCCTCAGGCATTGGGCACCTTTCATATTCCTTCTGCAAACTTTCTATTGGAAGCCTCTTTATATATGGTTTACTCTATTCAAGCACAAGGAATATAGCGATGAATGAAACTCAGCCTCTACCCACCACCCTCTGCCCTCAGTCTTTGGAATCAGGAAGGAGTGGAGGTGTATATAGCCCAGTGCAGTGAAATACTCCAGCCAAGCACTAAGGCATAAGGCAAGGAAGAATGAAATGTGCTTAGAGAAGAGTGAAATTTTCAGCCTGGTTAGATTACAGGATCTAATAGCATCAGCTTCATAGAATGAGAGTAGGCATATTGGAGGTCAGGAGGGAGGCTTTAAAAAAGCTAATGTTGGCTCAGCGCCTGTGGCTCAAGCGGCTAAGGCGCCAGCCACATACGCCTAAGGTGGCGGGTTCGAATCCCCAGCCCGGGCCGCCAAACAACAATGATAGCTGCAACCAAAAAAATGGCCAGAAAGGCCGGGTGTTGTGGCGGGCACCTGTAGTCCCAGCTACTTGGGAGGCTGAGGCAGGAGACTCGCTTGAGCCCAGGAGTTGGAGGTTGCTGTGAGCATGATGCCATGGCACTCTACCCAGTGGGATAGCTTGAGGCTTCGTCTCAAAAAAAAAAGCTAATGTTTACAAGCTTTCCTCTTGTAAATACCAAGAGGCACAGAATTCTAATTTGTTAGTTTATCACTAATCACAAACTGGGTACAGTGGCTCACACCTGTAATTCTAAAACTCTGGGAGGCCAAGGTTGGCGGATCTTGCTCAGGAGTTCAGGACCAGCCTAAGCAAGAGTAAGAGCCATCTCTAAACATAGCCGGGTGTTGTGGCAAGCACCTATATTCCCAGCTACTAGGGAGGCTGAGGCAAGAGGATCACTTGAGCCCAAAGTTTGAGGTTGCTGTGAGCTATAATGCCATGGCACTGAACTCCAGGGCAACTGAGTAAGACTCTGTTTTGAGACTCTGTCTCAAAACAAACAAACAAAACCAAGACACAAAGTTTCATCACAATATCACACATAGTGCTGAGGAGATATAATGCATTGATTAGGAACATGGTCTTTTACATTACTTTCTGGAATAATATTACCTGAGTCTTTGTTTTCCCCATTTGTAAAATAGAACCAATTATACCACACATCCTCTATTTAAAATGCACACTTTCTCACATTTAGGCTCCTTTGAGATAGGCATAAATGTTAAAATCATATGTATGTTCAATTTTGTAGTCTTCTTCTCCCCCCCCCCGAAGGCTGTCATTAATATACCTCATATTCAAAAAGAATATCAGGAACAAAGAAGTAGGTAATACCACAGTAAACCTCAGTTTCCTCAATCAGTAAAATTGAGGTAATAATTCTATCTAGGTCACAGGGTTTTGTGAAGATCGACTGAGATAAAGCACGTAAAACTCTTAGCAATGTACCTTCCACATAGGAAATGCTAAACACACACACACGCATAAAGTGCCCATAGTGGCTAGACCACAAAAGAACTGGTGGTTTGGTTGGAAGGCCTCTTCCATAAAAGGCTCTTTCATAAACAGTTGAAAAACCTTGCTCACGCCTTGCTGCTAACCTAATGCCTTTTCCTTGTTTAAAAGATTTCTGGCAGGATCTGTTAGACCTTGGAGCCCCTGGAAGTTCTACTGTTTCCAAGGTTTTTTACATCTGGCTAAGGTGCACTTAAGCAGGCCTCTGATCATTCAGCTTCTCTCTGTAATCTTTTTCCTACTTTGTCTTCCAGTTTCCTCTCTTGCCCTATACTATGGTCTCCTCTCAATGCAACAAAGTTATTCTCTTAAAACTCAGATCGTGTTACTTTTCTGTTCAAACCTCCCAGCAGCTTCCTCTTCTCTTAGAGTAAAAGCCTGAGAAAGAAAAAGGTAAGCCCTGACATCTGGGAGCTGGTGGGACACAACAAGGCCTCAGTATTGCTACAGGCTGACCTGGTGCTCACAGCTAGGTTATTCTTCTGTTGGAAGTAAACAATCTCCTGGAACACCAACATCAGACAAGATCACTCAGACCACAAAAAAGTGAGATACAACAAGGCCACTTCATAACTTCATCTGAGCAGAGAGAAGAACATGCAAGCCACGAAATACTAAACATTCTTCTTTGCTAACATGAGTGACTGCGGCTTTATCCTCATTCTGGTTTGTCCATCCTATAGATTATATTTATTGAGATACTCAGTCACAGAAAAGCATCCTGCTTTATGATAGCGCCAAATCCAGATTGAAGCCTGGCTTCCTTAAGCCCTCTCTCAAATTGCCCAAATCTTGTAATAGGTTCTCTCTAACAACCTCTTACTGAGCTGCCTCAATGTTCCCCCACCCCAGGACCTACCTCCTCATTGCAAGGAATAATAAACCCAACTTGTTTAAGTACAAGTATGTTCCTGATGGTCTCTGCCTAGTGGGAGGGCACTGACAAGCCAGAGTCCTTTCAATTGTCTACAAAGTTCTACAGTGGTTCTTAAACTTCATTATGCATCAAAATCACCTGGAAGGCTTGTTAAAGCAGATTGCTGGGCCTCACCCCCAATAAGACTGGGGGAGGAAGGGGCGGTACCTGTGGCTCAAAGGAGTAGGATGCTGGCCACATATACCAGAGGTGGTGGGTTGAAACCCAGCCCTGGCCAAAAACTGCAAAAAAAA